ATAATTACTTAGAAAAAATAATCCACTTGTAGATCCTTAAAAATTAGAAAAATTATGATAATATACCTTATAAAACAAGTTCTAATTATATTATTTATAGAGAAATCTAATATTGTAATTTTGTTAATTTATATATTCTAAAGTAATTTTAAATTCATTCTATTTCTTAAATAAACCTAATTTATCATATCTTTTCATTATAATACAATAATTAATTTAATGAGATTTAAAACTTTATATTGTAATTATAGTATAGCAAACATAATGTTTATAAGTATTTATGTGAATTATAATGATATGATTTAACTTAAAAATGATATGATTTTTTTAGTTTAATAATTAAAATAATAATAGGATCATTATTATTGAAATTCATCCAATTTTTATTTGTTTACTTGAATAGAATTTTGATTAAATATATAATTATAATTAAAAGCATTATAAAAAACATTGGAATATATTTTGAAATGAAAGAATAATTAAAAAGAAGTTTCATATAAAAGAGCATTATTTACATTTATATATTTATTTTGGAATTTAATCAGGTATTTAGCTTTTGATACCATTATGGAATTAATTTAGAATTTAGTTCTGGTCTTATACTTAATTCTTGCTTGTTAAAATCAAATAGATTAGGGAATTTTATATTTGATTTCGTAAATTCTTCTTTTCTTAAGTCATCAAAATATGGATGCAACAATGCATCAATAGGTTAAATTCTAGCTTTTGGAGAGTAACTAAATATTAAGAAGGATGTATTTTACGTAAGCATTTGTGAAATGAGATCCAAAAATAATTGATCTGGTTTATATTTAGCTAAGACTTTAGACCATGGATTGCCTTTAATCATAGGTAATTTGACTTCAGCTTTGGCTGGATTCATTTATTTAATGATATCAGGAGTTGGTGTTCCAAGAATTTTGATAATCTACAATAACTAGTCTTGAGCACTCTCTCCTGGAAAGATGGGTTCCAATATAATCATTTCAACAATGACACAACCAATAGACCACATATCGATTTATGTAGTATAATCGGTAGCTCCAAAAATTAATTCTGGCGCTCTGTAGTAGCGAGAACAAATGTACGCAATGTTAGGTTCACCTACTACAAGTCTTTTAGCTGAGCCAAAATCACAAATTTTTAGGACATTGGTTTCAAGGTTGATCAGGATGTTCTGGGGTTTTATGTCTCTATGGCATATTCCGATGGCTAGTTGGGATAAGTCTCAGTACCCTGCAGGTAGAGCAGCGCACGAAGCATTTGATAGCTGTAAAGCTTTAGTTATATGGATGGGATTGTTTGCTTCTGCTTGCGTATCTAACGTATCATCTTTGAAAGTGTCTCTGGTACGTATTCCATTACAAGATTAAGGTATACATCTTGTGGCTATACAATCAATACAAAGTTCATTATACATTTTCTCCAGGAGTAAAGAATGAATGTCTTAACATAACCACACAAGGATGATTCAATTCTTAAATGATCAAATGCTCTCTGTTTTTGTATCTGCGATCCTAGTACACCTTCTTAATAGCAACCTTCTNTAATGATATGATTTAACTTAAAAATGATATGATTTTTTTAGTTTAATAATTAAAATAATAATAGGATCATTATTATTGAAATTCATCCAATTTTTATTTGTTTACTTGAATAGAATTTTGATTAAATATATAATTATAATTAAAAGCATTATAAAAAACATTGGAATATATTTTGAAATGAAAGAATAATTAAAAAGAAGTTTCATATAAAAGAGCATTATTTACATTTATATATTTATTTTGGAATTTAATCAGGTATTTAGCTTTTGATACCATTATGGAATTAATTTAGAATTTAGTTCTGGTCTTATACTTAATTCTTGCTTGTTAAAATCAAATAGATTAGGGAATTTTATATTTGATTTCGTAAATTCTTCTTTTCTTAAGTCATCAAAATATGGATGCAACAATGCATCAATAGGTTAAATTCTAGCTTTTGGAGAGTAACTAAATATTAAGAAGGATGTATTTTACGTAAGCATTTGTGAAATGAGATCCAAAAATAATTGATCTGGTTTATATTTAGCTAAGACTTTAGACCATGGATTGCCTTTAATCATAGGTAATTTGACTTCAGCTTTGGCTGGATTCATTTATTTAATGATATCAGGAGTTGGTGTTCCAAGAATTTTGATAATCTACAATAACTAGTCTTGAGCACTCTCTCCTGGAAAGATGGGTTCCAATATAATCATTTCAACAATGACACAACCAATAGACCACATATCGATTTATGTAGTATAATCGGTAGCTCCAAAAATTAATTCTGGCGCTCTGTAGTAGCGAGAACAAATGTACGCAATGTTAGGTTCACCTACTACAAGTCTTTTAGCTGAGCCAAAATCACAAATTTTTAGGACATTGGTTTCAAGGTTGATCAGGATGTTCTGGGGTTTTATGTCTCTATGGCATATTCCGATGGCTAGTTGGGATAAGTCTCAGTACCCTGCAGGTAGAGCAGCGCACGAAGCATTTGATAGCTGTAAAGCTTTAGTTATATGGATGGGATTGTTTGCTTCTGCTTGCGTATCTAACGTATCATCTTTGAAAGTGTCTCTGGTACGTATTCCATTACAAGATTAAGGTATACATCTTGTGGCTATACAATCAATACAAAGTTCATTATACATTTTCTCCAGGAGTAAAGAATGAATGTCTTAACATAACCACACAAGGATGATTCAATTCTTAAATGATCAAATGCTCTCTGTTTTTGTATCTGCGATCCTAGTACACCTTCTTAATAGCAACCTTCTCTTTCGTTCTATTATCAGTGGCCTAACTTTTATTCTATTCACACATACCAAGTGCACCATGCCAAATGTGCCAGTCCCAACTACTTGTTCAATAGTGAAGTCTTTCTCTGATTATTATAACATTTAATAATTTCATTTAAAATAGTTCATTAAGTGATATGATAATTATTTTTTAAACATTTACTACATTAAACAATCTAATAAATTCAATACTATTCTGATTCAAGAAAGAAGTAAATTAAGATTCTAATTTACATGGTATAATCAATATTATTATTGATAAATTCATATATTTATTGTATTTCTTTTTATAATCTATAAAATGAAAAAACATCTTATAAATAGAGTATAATACTTAATAGGATCAATTAATTCTGATCTATATAATAATAAATCCATATATATATATATATTCTTATTAAAATAAATAGTCAAACTATATATATTAGTTGTTTAATTGATTCATGCTATATAAAATTTATAATTGATCTACTTTCACTTGTTAATTGTAATAGAAAATGAATTAAAAAAAATAATAACACTTTTTATGAATAAAAATTTATATGTATATATATATATATATTCAGGTATGTTTATAATTCATTTCTGTTTATTTCATTTTTCTTAATTTGAATTGTATTGGATTTCTGTGGAATGGTTTATCTTAATTATATTAAATTCTGTATTCTGTTCTCACTTAATCACCTTAAATTATTAAATATATTGTAAACCATTCATATTTTCATGAGGAATCCAACCTGACCCATCAAATTACATATGATTCTTCTAAAATCCAGATGTCTTAGTTTAAGCTTATGAAGTTTCTAGATATCTTTCAGTCTTACGAAATCTATTTTATTAATATTCTTTGATACGTTGGAGCAACAAGTTCTTAAGGCTTTTTGAAACCGTCTTAATAGGATGTAATCATTTTATTGATATGAGTACATGGATGATTTTTCAATAAGGTTTAGCATCCATATTTATGAGAATAAGCTTCCTTATGTACATCAATTAATTCTTTTGGATCAAAATTAAATCCAGTTGACGATAATCTATTGAATTTTCCTAGTTTCTAGTCTGAAAATGATTTTCTAGCCACTTCAGAAAATCTCTCACCATATAAATTCTCTGATTGTACATATGGCACATAACCTGCATATCCTGGTACTGCAGTATTTTTAGGTTCTTATGGAAACTACATAGCTTAAATGCAATTATTTACTTGAGTGTAATGATTAATATAGCTAGTTCTATAGAAATTGTTCTTAGACCATTCATGAAATGTTTTTTCTTATATGGGAGGAGGTTGAGATTGATTAGCCATTTTAATTAATTAATTTATTTATGTATATGTTTTCATAATCATTTATATGTATTACTATCTATAATATTGTTTTATATACCAAAACAATTATTTACATAAAATTTAATAAGTAAGAATGATCTCTATATATATACTTAAATAAGTTATTATGTTAATAATTTTAAAATAATTAAAATCTTTTTTTACAACAACACACAGATGACTCTTGTTTTAGAAAAAGCTGATCAATTCAGACATATCATTCGTATATTAAATACAAATGTTGAAGGTAAATAGCGACTTGCTTATGGAATTAGAAGCATTAAAGGAATAGGTAGACGATTTGCTATATAAATTTGCAAAGTATATATAAATCAATAGTTAAGGTGTTAAGACTTGATTTAAACAAAAGAGCAGGAGAACTTACTGATGATGAGGCTCATAAGATAACAGAAGTAATTAAGTCACCAGAAGCATACAATATTCCTAGATGGTTCTTAAATAGACAACGTGATTTTAAAGATGGTAAGAATTATCAAGTGACAACAAATGAACTTGAAACAAAATTAAGAGAAGATTTAGAAAGAATGAAAAAAATTAAGTATTTATAATAGTTATGAATTAAGATGTAATCGAGGTTTGAGACATCATTGGGGATTGAGAGTAAGAGGATAACACACAAAAACAACAGGTAGAGGAGGTTAAACATTGGGTGTAGAAAGAAAAAAGAAATGAAATAAATTTTTGTTTTATTTTTATTAGAGCATTAAATAATTAGAGTATTTAAGTATATTTCTCCTTTTTAATTGTTATTTAATATTTTAATTGTGTTAAGATAATAATAATAATTATTATAAAGAATCTAATATGCAAAATTTTTTTAATTATACTTCATGGAACAAATATGTATGTTAATGTTGAAAGAGTTGAAAGTGATATAAATTGTTCAGTCACTTTCATAAAAAAATAATTCCATGTTTTTTATTCCCAAACAACTTTTGATGTATAATATTAAACTTAAAAACTGACACAAAAAAACACTGCCAATGATAGCGCCAATCCAAAATCTCTTTCATTCTTACTTTAATTATTTATATTACATTTATTTTGAGAATGCTATATAGGTATGTAATTAGGGATGCTTAAAGCAATCTTGCCAATAATTCTAAAATTAAAGGCTAACTGCTCTAATTATTTTATTCATGATCTTTTTCTAGTTTGATATTTGCTTCTTTTAAATAACTGTCCCGAAATAATATTGAATACCAATAAAATCCTATTATCATTGTAGAAATTGTTCCAAAGATTATTGATAATAAACAAGGAATCATTTTGTTATTTGAACTTGATTTAATTTAATTTAATATAATATAATTTCTATATGAAAAAAAAAAATGTTACAATTCTTTATTGTTCTTTAAACCTAATGTTTTTGAAACCATACCTTCTCTAATTATTATATTTATATATATATAGATACCCATATAATTAAAGACTTATTTTCGATCTATTTTTTATGAATATATTTTCAAAGAATTCTACTATTTAATCTTTAGTAATTAATTTCATCATCTCTATTGTAACTTGTCTCTCTTCAAAAGTATAGTCTCCTGAACTAATATAACTCCATAATCTATCAGCTTCTTCGCTCAATGTTTAAGGTTTCTCTCTTAATTCAATAATTGAACTATGTCTTAAATGTTCAAATTATTTATTCTTTAATTTTTTCAAATATTTATCAAATTATAATAAGAATTTTTCTATTAATTAATTAATTAACTTTAAATGGTAATTCTTTATTGCCTTAAACTAAAAATAATGCATCATCAATGCAACTAATTTATTTGAATTTCATAACAACAACATAACCTAATTATAGATTAGTTCGAAGATGATTATATGCTTAAGAATTAAGAAAAGGTTAAAGAATCTTCATCAAAGCATAATTTTCTAAAGTTCTTTAACCTATTTGATAATAATTCAATGTAACTCCATTCAAATTACCTTTATCTGATTCCACAAATTTAGCAAATATCCAATTTTTTCCACTCAAATTCAAAACATAAATTGGTAATCTTTCTGATATATGAATATTTGTATTTTCATCTTAAATGCAAGTTTTCAATTCAGAAGATATATCTTAGGCTTACTTTTTATCTAGATTACCAACCAAAAGTGAACTCTAAATAGAATTTTAAAGTATTTCTTTGATATCTAAAATCATTTATTCTTCTGTAATATTTTGTATTTATTATATTACTTATTCAGGATTAAAAAAATCTTTTCTTAAAATTAATGGAAGATATAATTGAAATGACTATTCAAATAATTTCATTTAAAATATATCCTTTATCGATGTAATAAGTGATTACTTAGCTCTAATGAATTCAATTGATTCCTATTTTGTTTATTCAAATTAAATGAAACTATTAGTTTTATCCTTAAATGGATTTATACATCCACATATTTTCTTGAAAAAACTTCTAACTTTTTCACTAAATCCATAAACTTTAATTTCTATTTATTTACTCATATCTAATTCTACTGAATATCCAGTTGTTAATGGTTATCTGAGTTACTTATTTACTTCTTTTTCTGAAATAAAATTAAAAATTCTCATAGATGTAAATTACCTTATTGTTAATGGTTAAGTATATGATATGAATATAGCTCCATATACATTAGGTAATTTATAAAAAGTAGAAAATTTCCACTATTAATTATTCTCTTTATTTAATAGAATTAGATAATAATTGTTCTTTAGATATACATTTTCTTACTTTTTAATTTAATCTTTAGAATATTTTTATAAATCTTATCCTGCATTAAATAATAAATTTAATTTTGCATCCTTATCCAATGGTTTCAATTAATCAGAATTTATCAATATAGGTAGTTTAAATTTATTTGATTCACATAATGATACTAATTTTAAATCATCTGGAATAAATAGGTTCTTTTAAGGTTTATTAAATAGTTATTATAATTTTGAATCTTTTTAAGTAATGATTTTAATGGAATCTTTATCCATTTTCTAAGTTGCATATTCTAAACGATAAATCTCACTCTTTTTATCTAAATTCTTATCTTTTAAGAATTCTTTATTATTATTAAATTTAAAAGTATTATCTATAAATTAATATTCATTATCTCCAATTAAAATTAATAAATTATCTGTTTTCTTCAACTCAGTTATATATTTATATATTATATCTTTATCCAATATATCCATAATGAAATTAGATGATAATACTTATGCAGGTTCATATTTATTAAGATTCTAAGCAATATCAGAAATATCTTAAGATCCTTCCATATATTCAAAATTTATTTTTTGGAAATTTAACTTTGTTCTTTAAATATTTCTTCTAAATATTTATCATCCTTTAACCATTCTTCTAATTATTGGATATAATTATTTATAACTCTTGTAATTTCAAGAGCAATGTTACCATCATTTAATTATTATTCAGGTAATATTAATTCTATAATGTAATTAACAAAATGATTTTATTCAATAAAAATTGAAGATTCAAATTCAATCACTAATTATTTCTCCTTTAAATAATCTTTTAAATTTCCATTATTCAATAAATAATCTATTAATTCTAAAGGTTTTTAGTGTATATATTATTCTCTTCCACTTAATTACCAATTTAACAAAATCTATTTCTTTTCTGTTTTGTATTTACCCAATAATCCAATTTAATATGGAAATCCTGAAAATGATTTAGGTATTAAATTTTTATTTTCTATCTTTTAAAATACCTTAATTAATTTCTCCATTTAATTTAATGATAATCTCCTTGATACAGCTACACTCATTATATTTGGTGAATAATTGTCTTAATAAAATTTCTTTAATGCTTCAACTACACCTTCTTTGCCCAAAACATCATTGTTACCTATACTAAATCTACTTGCTGGATGTTTAGGATCAGCTAAAAGTGCAAAAAGATTGACAACTTTCCAATCTTCACTACTTACATCCATTTCATATTCTGAATTTACTGCATTTCTCTCCTTATTTACAGCATCTTCATTAAATAAAGGATCAATAAAGAAATGAGCAAATGCATCTAAAGCTTTACCTAAATGATTCACTGTAATTTCAAAATAATAATTAGTATTTTATGCTCTGTATATGCATTAGATGAACCTCCATCTTTAGCCATTAAATCATCAAAGAAATCAATCTAAGGTAGATTATTTAATTATTAATACCTCTGCTACTGATAGATGAATTCCAATAGTTGAATCAAAATCAGACTTCTTCCAATTCTTATAGCAACTTAAAAGATTAATTCACTTCAGCAGCCTCTGGTCCAATATAATGGAATTCAACTATTTAGTCAATGTCTTTTCTGATTATTAATTTTGTTTAACAAATGGAAGGGCTTTTTGCACTAATATTCCAAGTCACAAGGTTCTAACAAAAGAGGAAATACAGTTCCAAGAAAAGGATTAATTTATATGTGATTCTTTTAGAAGGTTAATTAATATTTAACTNTTAATATTCATTATCTCCAATTAAAATTAATAAATTATCTGTTTTCTTCAACTCAGTTATATATTTATATATTATATCTTTATCCAATATATCCATAATGAAATTAGATGATAATACTTATGCAGGTTCATATTTATTAAGATTCTAAGCAATATCAGAAATATCTTAAGATCCTTCCATATATTCAAAATTTATTTTTTGGAAATTTAACTTTGTTCTTTAAATATTTCTTCTAAATATTTATCATCCTTTAACCATTCTTCTAATTATTGGATATAATTATTTATAACTCTTGTAATTTCAAGAGCAATGTTACCATCATTTAATTATTATTCAGGTAATATTAATTCTATAATGTAATTAACAAAATGATTTTATTCAATAAAAATTGAAGATTCAAATTCAATCACTAATTATTTCTCCTTTAAATAATCTTTTAAATTTCCATTATTCAATAAATAATCTATTAATTCTAAAGGTTTTTAGTGTATATATTATTCTCTTCCACTTAATTACCAATTTAACAAAATCTATTTCTTTTCTGTTTTGTATTTACCCAATAATCCAATTTAATATGGAAATCCTGAAAATGATTTAGGTATTAAATTTTTATTTTCTATCTTTTAAAATACCTTAATTAATTTCTCCATTTAATTTAATGATAATCTCCTTGATACAGCTACACTCATTATATTTGGTGAATAATTGTCTTAATAAAATTTCTTTAATGCTTCAACTACACCTTCTTTGCCCAAAACATCATTGTTACCTATACTAAATCTACTTGCTGGATGTTTAGGATCAGCTAAAAGTGCAAAAAGATTGACAACTTTCCAATCTTCACTACTTACATCCATTTCATATTCTGAATTTACTGCATTTCTCTCCTTATTTACAGCATCTTCATTAAATAAAGGATCAATAAAGAAATGAGCAAATGCATCTAAAGCTTTACCTAAATGATTCACTGTAATTTCAAAATAATAATTAGTATTTTATGCTCTGTATATGCATTAGATGAACCTCCATCTTTAGCCATTAAATCATCAAAGAAATCAATCTAAGGTAGATTATTTAATTATTAATACCTCTGCTACTGATAGATGAATTCCAATAGTTGAATCAAAATCAGACTTCTTCCAATTCTTATAGCAACTTAAAAGATTAATTCACTTCAGCAGCCTCTGGTCCAATATAATGGAATTCAACTATTTAGTCAATGTCTTTTCTGATTATTAATTTTGTTTAACAAATGGAAGGGCTTTTTGCACTAATATTCCAAGTCACAAGGTTCTAACAAAAGAGGAAATACAGTTCCAAGAAAAGGATTAATTTATATGTGATTCTTTTAGAAGGTTAATTAATATTTAACTGATATTAATTTTTTGATTGATTACTTGAAATTCAGTTTATGGAAATAAAAAGATTTTCTATATAATTTCTATTATATTGTTTGGGGTGAATAAAATAAAATTGAATATATAATTAATGAAAAATATAATAGCAGCCACATTGACGTCATTACTAATTTGTGTTGGTTTCTACCAAGTAAATTTAGATTCTGATTCTGAATTCGAAAGATGGGCTTTGAAACATGGAAAACGCTATTTTGGTGATGAGAAAACATACAGATAAACCATTTATTTTTAAAATAAATAAATGATAGATGAACATAATAAAAGAACTGATGTTACTTATTTAATGGGAGAAAATCAATTTATGGCTATTACAAATGAAGAATTTGTTAGTCTTTATTTGAATCCATTATCACCCGAAAAATAAAATGAATAAGATTAAATCATAAGTAAAACTAATCCTAAGTCACCTGAACCAAATATAGAATAAAATTAAAAACTAAATATTGATTGGAGAGGTTATGCCCCAGTTAAAAATACAGGAAACTGTGCTTCCTCTTGGGCAATGGCAGCAACAAATGTTATTGAAGCTAAATATAAAATTGAAAAAGGAATAACAGTAACATTATCACCACAGAATGCCATGGATTGTGCGGGTGGTTAGGGGTCATGCGATGGAACTCCAACTGTATTTACTTAACCTTAGTAAGCATATGAACATGCAAGAATTCAAGGGCTTTTAACTGAGTCTGAATATCCGTATACTGGCACGATTTAATGGTGTAAATAATCAGGATTCGCACCATGGAAAATTATGGCTTATCATTAGAATAGTGATGATATAGATTATATGAGGGGTTTCACATAAATGTTAAACGATCAGCCTTTATCAGTAAGAGTTGATGCTACTAACTGGTAATTCTATAGCTCCGGAGTATTCTCACTTTGTAGTTCATTATATAAAAACTCAAATTATTATGCATTAGCTATTGGTTAAGAATATACAGTAGATAGTTATTTTTGGAGAGTTCAAGCATCTTTTGGAATATCTTGGGGAGAATTTGGAACTATTAGATTAGCACCAGGAAATACTTGTGGTCTGATAAATGAATCATATATGGTGCTTTTGTGGTGAATAATCATTAAAAAAATTACAAAATATCATCCTTCTATATTTATATGCATAATTAAAATTGCAAATTAATTATTTGTTATTTAACAGGAATTTCTATTTTTTTTAAAAATACCTTGTTCATAAAATCAATTTCCAAAACTATATTGAGAAAAAAAAAGAAGTTTTGTTTAAATACAATATTATTGAATTTCAATTTTAAAGATAAAAATGATTTAATTTTTATAATGATAAAATTAATCATTATCATAATAGCACTCAAAAGATAAGTAATTAAAAATATATAGATTATTAGATATATTTATTAAAGGAATTCTAATAAAATTTAGAAGAAATAATTTAAATCAATAATACAATATATAAGACCTTACTTCAATTTTAGAAAATGAAATCAAAATTGAAAGGAACAAAATCTGGGATTTTTCTTTTAAAAACTTGAGGAAAATGGTATCGATTCTAGTAAGAAACTTCTAGAAATTCCTCCACAAAGACTTAGAAATATTTTGGAG